TAAAAAGAAGACAGGAAAAAGGGCATAGTCCTTACAGTTGCTGGGAAGAGCATGAAAATAAAAGCCTTAAAGACTCTTCAAGCTGAAGATAAATACAGGGAATTCAATGTTTGTCTATTAAAAAATGAAAATGTCAGGATTCCTCAACCAACATACTCTTGTTACACCAGGAATCGTTGAAGGGTTTGTTATTAATATTAGAATTGATAGCACTAGTGGAGCTACAGTGATCCCTCTAAGATGTCTTCATTTTCATGGCAACGGAGTTCTTGCAGTCTCTTCTCTGTTCATTGTGTCATCTCTTAATATCCGTGATCTCCAAAATAAAAAGCAGCAATTCACCATTAAGTTACCTAAGCAATAAACTTTGCAGTTGATACATCTAAGCCTGTGAGCTTGTTTCTGTTCTGTCTAGCACTGTGAAACAGTCACTTTTTTATCACATTAGTAATTCTCAGCAGTGGTAGCTCAGATGTATCATAGATGCTGGCTTTCACAGGCCAAGTTCGCTTTGTTGTCTATGGGAAACTCTCAAGTATCAGGCGAAGATAGATGCTGCGTGTCACTGAGTCTCATGTCGTCATTCACATTTTGAAGAGGGGATGGAAAACAGAAGTTAGTTTTATGTGTGGATTTAAGGATTGAAGAACCTATCTAGACATCTCCAGAATTACACAACGTAAAGGGGGGAAAAAGAGTTCCCCCACAACCCTCCTCTGCTACACTGGATAATTCTGTGTGACTTCAGGAAACTCTTTATTTCCAACAACTGTTCATGTGCATCAAAAGCAATTTGTATTGGAACGTTTTTTCTTCCCGACTTTTCATTAAACACACACAGTACTGAACTATTTACACTTTATTTTTAATAGCTACAGCAAAAGATTATTCTGCTCTGCACACCCGAGAGCACACAATAAAATAACTGTTTGGCAGGGGGAAAATGCCCTGTTGTCTTGCAGTACCAGTTGGTATTATGGAGGTTTGTTCGGTGTCTTATTTATAGTAGATTGCAATTGGAAATGTGATACAAAACAAACACCAATGTTCCAGTAGCTTAACCATGCATCAGATTTTTACTTTGGTAGTTGTTTTTATTTTAAGCATCTTTTATCATGACTTGAAAAATTACAACAGTGAAGGGACAGTCAATCTGCTGAGGTCTCAGCATCCATGTTCTTAAAAGAAAGATAACGTTCCATGTCGTACCCTCCAGGAATCCTCCCAGGCAGATTTGTATTTATGCTGATGCTCCTTTCCACCGCCCGTGGAGACAGTTTATTCTAGTCATGAGACCTCTTCCTGCTAGTGAGAATCCTGTGTATGGAGAGTTTACAAACTTTGGCTCTCTGATTTCTTTTGTATCGCATATGAGAAGCACTTTTTTCAGTATTTAAAAATCTGGTTTCCTTTAAAGAAAATGGGGCCTAGGTTTTGAAAAACCTGTGGAGTGCTTGCAGTGATCTTTCTCATCGTTTTGGCTCTTGCTGACCTTTGGCTGGGCTTACGTTTGTGCGTGCATATCTATGGTGCGTGCAGGTATGTGTATGTGCTCCAGTTGTATACGGAGGGTTTATGCTTTAATGCTGTTCACTCTTCCTCTCCAGCAGTGAGGAATTCAGTGGAATTTCTTTTTGCAGGGATACAAAAATGCACAGAAAGCACATTTTTTTAAAAAGTCTAGCTCACTGGTAATCCTACTGAGGCGAGTATTTTGTAGAGAAATTGTATTCAAGTATTTCTAGTCAGATTTCAAATAAAATCCTAATTGGTTTTCTCTCTTTTTGTCTAGTGTGGCTTCCAGCTCCTACCTTCGTGCATTACTAAGCAATAAACATTTCTTGGCTTGCTTACTGGCTCTTTGTTGTGTGTGTTTACAACATGTGTGAGAGAAGACTTCTGCAGAGAACCCCTTAGGTGGGATGTACTTCATCCTCTCGGCTGTTCGATGTGGCTGGACACCATCAGCCACGTCTTTCCCATCTGCAGTCGGGTGGATGTGCATGGATACTGAAGTGCCATCCCAGGATCTCTCTGGAAAGTGATGGGCTAAGGAAGGAGATTTTGATCACTTTATTTTTTTGAACTTAAGCGTTTTTCTGAAGCTAGATAATGTTATCAGCTTTGTTTTCCAAGTTCAAATTTACACACAGAAGCCTGCACCCCTTCAAAGAGATGGAGAGTATCATATTCCCTGCCAAAGCCAAATACTGCTTAGGTGGTAAATGGGGGGTTTTTTTTTTTTTTTTTTTTTTTTGAATTTGGGGCAGGGGGAACGGAGGGGGGAAGCTGCCTTTCTGGAGATACCTTTCAACGATAGATGCCATAGGCCTGTTGCAAACATTTCACAGCATAGGTGAAAACAAGTTACTGTAGCTGGAATACAACCAATACTGTAATTATAGCCTTTTTACTAACCAATGGCCCATTTTGGGTTTTATTTTTATCTCCCCCCACCCCCGCAACAGTGCAGATAAGCAGCGAGGAGGAGTGGCCGAGGGGCTGTGCCGTGCCCCTCTGCACTGCAAGCTGCTGTCAGTCGAGCAGGGTGGGTTACGGTTCTGCGCACCCGCCTTGCGTTCCCCCATCCCCGCAGAGCCCGAACCTTCTCGGAGCGTGGCCTTGCATCTGCAGTTGGCAGCTAGGGGGTTTGGATTTGAGTGCAGGCTTGGACCCAGGTTTAAAATACTATCGGTACATACTGGTGTGACCAGAACATCTCACTGTCCTCAGACATTTAGAATCAGACGTTGTTTTTGAAAACTTGCCTCCTCTGTTCCAGGTCAGTAAATAGGATGTTCACTCTGCCTGGATATACACCTAGAGAAGAGGATGGTGCGTGTTTAATCTTAAAGAGGCCTGAGTATTTTCTTGGATGTGGAAATGGTGACAGTGTGTTTGAACCAATGTTGAGTATCTGAAGTCCTTCCTCAAGCAATGAAAATTCACTGATCTGGCTAAAACACTATTTACTCTCTGTACACTTGGAGTCTGTCTCTATTTGAAGAGAACTTCCTTCCAGTATTTTTCCTGGTTGGTTGTTGGATAGAGGCTGGGTCCGCTCTCAAAGCGCTTGTCTTTAATATGCATCAGGTTACCCTGAGGTAAAACGGAAACCTTAGATGTTACTCCTGTAAATAAATGTTTACATAATACATTGCACTGAACTTCTCACCATTGCATGTCTAAGAAAAAAAGGTCACTTTTGACATCAGTAACCTTTAGAGAGCGATGCGTTTGCTACACAGGTAAAGAAAGTTACTGTGCTCAGCACATTCCTTTCACTAGATCAAGAAGGCAGGAGAGGTCAAATGTTATTGCTTACAACTCTCAAGGCCTGGCTTTTTAAGCTTTAAAGGCAAGGGTCTGGTTTTGAGGTATGGGTCCTGTAAACAGCACATGCCTGATTTTGCTCATGTGAGTAATTCCATTGAATTCCCTGGCACTAGTCACATATGAAAAGCTAAGTCTGTAATGTATGTCTGTGTGGGGTCAGGACCTCAACTCTTCATTTCTAAATGAGAAATTTCCTATAAAATATTCATGGGAACGATTTGGAACCAAGTAAGTATCTATCTCTTAGTTTTACTGCGTTTGTGTCAAAACACTTGCCCAGCACCAAACATAAAAATATTACCTCCCTGTAGGTCAGCAGCAAAACTGCTGTTGTGTCAACAGATGAAGGATTTCTCCCTGAACTTAATCTAGCAGATGAGTAGCGGAAGAGGGAGCTCAGTGTTCTCTGGTGGAATCCATCCTGGGTGGCAAAACATTATCCGGGCTGTTGGGATTGTTGGGTCTTGGGATCAAAGCCCATGAACAAGTGCATCAGCTCACCCGCTCTGTGATACAGGGGATAGACTTTGTGTTGTGGGATGCAGTGGAACAGGAGATCCTGATGATAAATGGATTTTTGCTGCCTTTGTATTTGAAATATTGGCAAAACCTGTAGGTTTTCAGACACTGAAAAAAAACTGAAGTAGGAGCTATGATGCTACAGTCTCCTGCCTTTATATGTTTCTTGATCTTTGTCCAAAGATAATACAAAATTAATATATGTGGGGCTAACCATTCACACTGCCTGTGACAATACTTGGGGGCTTTTAACGTGCATTGCGTTTTTGGATGCCTGGTTCCTTCTTCACTTCTCTGTCCCTCTCTCTCGCTCCTCCCCCACAATTTAGAGAAAAAAGTTCTTCAAATAGCAAGCTCTTTGCTTTTGTGATGTACCGGGCAGCCTTCCTAGCATGGCCTGGGTTACCACGGGAACAATCGTGAAACCTTGTTTACAGCTATCAGGTTGGTCAGGATTTCTCTGTGGGCATTATTTCACATCCCCCCCCCGCCCCCCCTCCAAACCTATATATCGCCATCCAATTGTCTTGCATGTTCCTGATGCTTCGCTTGTAATATTAATGAGCCCTCACAGGGCATACAGTGCTTTCTTTGTTCTTATAGGAGCC